GAAATCCACCTGGGCTTCCCCACCATGTCCCTCCCTTCGACATCTCCAGCTGGTGCAAACACAACATTGGAACAGGGAGGGCAGATTATCCGAAGGCTGAACCTCTGACCAGTGTTTTTATTAGTGCAGAGATAAAAACAGACCAGTCGGCTGTTTCAATTCCCATATATTTCCAAGAAATAGTTGCTTTAGCTAAAAAGGCTGTGTGAGAGCCCCTTTTGAATACACAGGTACCTGCTGTAAATAAGTTTAACAGTGCCAGGAAAATTTCCGTGTGGAAATTCCCAATGGGAATGCAGAGTTACGGGACACTGTTATTAATAGGGCAATTCAGAGCACATCTCCATGCTGTGGCTCACGTGCTGTATCGTGAATAAAACCACCCTGCACCAGCAGCTCTGCATGCTGAGTTACTGCTCCCAAAGGACACCAGGGATGTAACCACAGCTCCTCCCTGCTCGTTCATTTTCGAGCACCACGGAGACACTCAAGGAAACTTGGGAAAGAAAAACAGAGCAAGATCAAGTGCTTAGCAAACTATGAGACTCAGGTCCAAGAACAGAAATTGAGATTTACTTGGGATCTTCAGAGAGCCAAGATCACTGTCCAGCAGGCAAGAGCGCCTATCGGGCAGCGCAGTCCCACGTGGATCATTCCAGTGCTTAATGCTTTTGGGATTCAACTGCTTCATCCCCCTTGAAGGCATAGCTATGTAACTTGTAAATCAGATTAAAACATGGTACTAAAAAAACAACCACGCTTGCGTGCACATCCCCGAACACCCAGCCACAGGACTCAGGCCCCGGAGGCCAAACACAGGCTGCAAACTGCAAAAATTAGTTGAAATAATCTGTGCCTGGCCGGCCTGCTCCAGAGCTGCCCCAAACAGTTTCTCTCCGCTTGCTGCCGAGCTCCGGCTCTAACGCAATCCAGACAGCCCCGGATCTGGGTGGAATGTTAATATGAAAGCACTAAAATTCCCACTGAAACAGGACCTGTCAAGTCACTTTACGTAATGTGATTTATTATTTCCAAATGTAGCAACAGGGGATTTCATGGCACATGAGCATGTTGTACACAGACAAGCTCAGTGTTTGTGCTCCCTGCTAGCCTATGGCAGGGCAGGGTCTTAGGGAACTCCATGGGTGGGCAGGGCTGGGTTACAGGCATTAGAAATTGCTGGGATGCAGAATATACCCTGAATATACCTTAGTGTGAGCTTTTTCTACACTGCTATGCATGCTGCATAAAACTGTTGAATGTCTCAACAAAAAAAAAAAAAGGAAAGAAACCCAACTGTCCCAATCCCTTAGGGCATTTGCATCAAGTAATAAAATGGATTTTCAAAGCTTAAGGAAGCCTTTTTTCCCCAGACTTACATGTCAATCAGATAAGCCGGTGCAGCAAATTGATATCTCTGGCGAGCTGAACGCAGTCAAACCGAGCGCAGCCTGAAACTTGTGGTTTAGCTCCCAGCTCACGTCCTGCCGCTGCTTTCTAACCTGCTAAACCCCCATCTCCGAACCATGATCTCCTATGTTTATTCTGTTTAACAAAGCAGATAACATCAAGCTGTTCGAGTTCTACAGTAATAACATCCGTGGAGAGTTACACCCGAAAGCGCACACTGTGTCATGCCTTAAAGTTTATGGAATTTGGTTACCTCTCCATTCTGTACATGGACTTAGAAATGCAGAAATACTTCAGCTCTATCCGCCCACTAATCTTTTTTATGCCGCTGCTTCAACTAGTTTGGATTATTTAACGGCAATGAAAGCTACATGCATAAAACTGAGGCGGAGTTGAGCAGCTCAGCACACGAGAGAGGCAGCAAGAGCTGCAGCTGCCCTCCATGTGGAGGAAGGCAGCGTAGCACTTGCTGTGCTAAGGCAACACTGGGCTACGTTGGAAGCATCATGCAAACATCCTAATCTCGCCATAGATCAGTTGCAGCAAAGCTGACACTGACTTATGTGATCGATTTATTGCTTTCTAGGTAGCTGCTCTCTGATTCAAGACCTTGGACTACTCTGCTTTGACACTGCTAGTCAGGATCAACGCACATTTTGTTAGGGCTGGTTCCCAGGGTCTTGCTCTGCCCTTCAAGCACCACCAACAAACACGAAGCTTGTTCAGTGCATTAAAGTCAGCCCCACATACTCACATCGGTGTCTGGATCAGGGAGGGATCTGCAATGCAGGCTTAAAAAGAAAACCTAATGTCTGCTTGTGGCTTAGGAGCAAAGGGACTAAGTTATAACACGGCAGATGAGGTTTGTGCCATTTAGCCTGGCTACTCTTCTGTTTCGAAGTGGCGAGATGCGGTGTGTCCGACAGGAAAACGCACAGGAATCCAAGCAAAGGGGACACGACGTTTTATGAGGAGCTCCTGAGCCAGCGACTCTCGCTCTTCTTTTAGTGACACAGTCGCAGGCTGCATCACTATGGCAGCAGACACACGGCTCAGGAGACCCTGGAATTCAGCTTCTTCGTTATTGAAAATCTTGCTCAGACAGAAACTTCCAGCACACGCCATAGGAGAGGCTGCAGTGCTCTCACTTAGGGAGGCTGCTAATCTATGGGTCCAAAGCACTAGAGTTTGGGCTGTAAACTAAGAGCTTTTCATCTACAGAGATCTGGAAGCCAAAAAACCCCAAAAAACACTACACAGCCCAATAAAAGCAGGGAAGCCAGAGGAAGGCCCCAGAACTGAAAGCATTTAGGGCTCCAAAGAATCTGCCTCCAGACATCCCAGTGCTTCCACCTTTCCGGTGCTTCCCTCTTCTGATCTCCCCTTTGCTTTTTTAAGCACTTGGCCAATAAATAGCTCTTATTCCAGCACTCGAACGGGATTTACGTTGCACTGCAAGTACTGTGCAATTAACAGATTTAATGCCTGATTCATTTCCCTCTTCAAAGGCAGCTCAGAGAAAAGCTCAACAGGAGATGGCTGGATTCTGTAGCTGTGGGTATATCACACATATACATGACATAATGCTTCCCCCTACCAATATTGTAGGTCGGCACATCCCTACTTTTCTTGTACATGTATCAATCCGTTTCCCCTCTTTAGGTCCCTGGCTATTATTCAGTCTTTAGTTTCATCACTTTGAGGTTTTTTCTATCTTCAGTTGGGATTTTCACACACCACCCCCTATTTCCGCCATAATTTATCAATTGCTGTTTCCACTCCATTTCACCACATTTCTAATCTCATTTTCCCAACTACGCTGTCTACAATCATAACAGAGCAGTGACTTTAAAAATTCAACACGCTTCACTAATTTCACAATGTGTTAAAAGAGATAACATAGGGAAGACATTATTTTCATCTCAGGGCAATTACTTCAGCTCGCGCATCGGAGACAACAGCACAGAGCGAGAGGAGCAGGATACTCATCAAGGCAAAAGGAACTCAAAGCCCTCAAGTCTTACAGAGGCACCGACCACCTATGAGCACAAGAAAGCCAAGCACATCTCTGCATGGGAGAGTGAGCACTCACCTCTTCCCTGCTTTTCAGCAGCTTTTGGTAGGTGTTTCATTCTCTATCACTAATCCAACCCACAAGCACATTTGTTTGAGCTATTATTACAAACGCATCATATACTAATAAAATGCCCCGACAGAAACGATTTCCAAAGGACACAGCTCAGTACAGTTCTACATAACAGCAGTGCTGAGAGCAAGCTCCTTTCACAAGCAATTAAAAGCAACTACATGACGTACCTAGCTCAGCCGCGGGTCGTACAGGACTTGTCTTTCAGTGCTGTTCAATTACTTTGTCCTTGTCTTTTACTGGTAAACAGAAATCCTTAGTTTTCTTCCCACCTGCAGTTCACTGTACGCCTCTATTCTCTAAATTAGACCAGCCTAATTCACACATGGAGCCTCTGGACCAGCTTTGCTGCAGGTGGAAGGAGCTTGGGCCAAAAGATAACATTTTGGAGGGTAAGGGTACATGGCACTGCAGCGCTCCGGAATAAATCCCATCTACAGACGGCATTTCCGAGCTCGGTTTTACTTCAGGCATGCTCTAAAGTTTGAACAAGACTTCCCCTCATCCTATTAAGATTTCTTTACCCCGTTTGACTTGCCACAGTGCTGCAATCCAGCCTTTGCTAAGCTGTTGCCATTTCTGCGACTTTTCACCCGGTATTTATCCACTTTTACAGTATTTAAGCTGAAAGGCATATTCCAAAGCTTACGATAGCCCAGCTCCTCTCTCAACACAGCAAAAGCTATTCAGGTTGGAATCCCCTGTGCTAAGAATTAAGAGACAAAAGGGTAAAAGGAAAAGGTTCAGTAAGGCATTATGGTGCCCTCAAATACTGAGGCTCATCTGGATGACACTTATTCCAAATGCAGAGATACTTTCAATACATTATTTATACTAAATATAAATTGCATAAACACTGGAAGAAAGCTGCTCTGAGTCCAATATTTATACCAAACTGCTTTAAGGATTTCTTATTAAATATTTAAGGTTTCACTTTGCACACCACCTTTGTTCAAATGGAGGAGCAGCAGTAATTAACCTGATTCAGAAAAGTTATGCTGTTAGTTAAAAGACAGCGTGCATATAAACTTCCCAAGCTCCAAAAGAAGTGAAGGAGGAGTAATTTTTCATAAACCAAAGTTCCATTATAAAAATTTTAAAAAAAGAAAAAAGGGGGGGAGAAGACTACAGTTCTACCCCATATTCACACAAAATTTAAGAGACAAACTTAAAACCTTGTACTGAGGGCTTACTCGATCTGATGACACTAGTTTCTCTGAAGAATAAAGATCAGTTTTAGACTAAGTGTCATGGATGATCTAAATATGTTGGATCCTGCTTCCATGTTGTCCTTCTGACACACCGTTCAGGACAACACAATAACATCCACATTCTGTTCAGAAACAGGACAAACGAGCTCCCAGACAGCTTTGATTTCACGTTTTAGATGGTCACATGGAGTTCAGAACAGAAAAACTAAACGGAAATGAGAGGAGATACTCACGTTGCCCATGTACTCGGAGAGCAGATCCTGCAAGGCCTGTCGCACTGCATTACACTCGGCAACGATGCGTTCCCGGCGGTCATCACGTGTGCAGGATGAATCAGCCATTAAGGCTGCTCCACTAATGATGCTCTCCAGGCGCTCTTCCAGGGAAGGCCTAAAACGCTCTTCGCTGAACGTTGATGGATCCACAATAATTTGTTTCTAGCAAAATAAAGGTTTGGGAAATTAGCAACTGGACTCCCAAGCAACTTACTTTTAGGTCACCATAAGACCAACTTTTACAGCAACCCCTCGATCGGGCATAAAAGAAAAATTTTGGCACCGAGGGCAATTTTCTTGAGTAGTCTAGTAAAATTACTAAAAGGTTTCCCAACAGATTAAGTTGCTAGTCATTTCTTATGCTGCTTTGACAGCTAAAAAAAACCTTGGCCACAAGAAGTCTCATTACATGAATGGCAAAATCAAATGTGCCAACATAAATAAGGTTCAAGGATGGAACCCTTCCTTATCTCTATGTCAATCTGGACATGCCTTAACTATTTAGGTTGTCAAATGTAATTACCACATCTGAAGGAAAAAACAGGAAAAAAAAAACCATCCCAAATTAGCCCTATATAGGGTGCTCTATTGTCCTAGTTTAGCCAGTCTCTCTCTCCACCACTACGTGGTTATGAAGGTAAATATAATGGTCTTAATTTTAAATGAAGCATCAACACAAATGTTTAGAATAGCATAGAAATCAATTTGTTCAAGCTGAAAAACATCAGTTTTATCTCAGCAGAGTGTATTAGTAAGCCCAGGTAATATTAGGAGAGTTAAGGCCGAATCAGCAATCAGAGGAGTTGCGAAGGGCCAATAATACCAGTCACAAAAACCATACGGGAAGAAGCCGGGCAGTAAACAGCACCTGGGAAGGACTGCCCAGTGGTTTATTTAAACAGGTTCTGCAGTTTATCACAATATGTGATTTGGTCATTTCAAGGTTTGGCGATTTGTTTAGGTTTTGGGTCCCTCTCCTCCATTAAGGGGAGGTTGTTACTCGTTCTTTATAAAATGAAATCCCAAACTTTCTGGAATAATATTTTTTAGCGTCACTTGATATATCATCAGCTAACTTCACATTAATGTCACAGACACTGCATCTCTTCTCAGACAGCACAATTAGCCTCTCTAACGAACTAGGCAGCATGTGCAGCCAATTTTAAACACAGTGGATATTGTTGTGATACTCTCCTCATTCTTATTGAGCTTTTAGCCATGAAGTCGATACAGTAGCAATATGCTACCACTCCAAGACTGCACAGTAAGAAAAGGAGAAGTGCATATTAAAATAAAATAACTATGACATTCTCTTATTACCTAGGAATTCATTGAGAAATGCTGCAGATGGGGCACAAGAAGTCAGTAGTATTTTTACATTAAGGATAAAGTCCAGAAACACAGCACACAAAGTAAAGTAGGGGACATAGAGACTGAAGAACAGAAAGGAGAGAGAAACAGAAGGAGATCCTCATTCAGAAAATAAATATGTTGAAGTTTCAGAAACAAGAGATGTTTAAAAATCTGAGATCCAATCAGTGGTAGACACAGAATGCTTGCTTCAAAAGCAAAGCATTCTCTTTAAAAATGTATGGGCTTCTCTCTGCAACCTCCCAAATCCAAGATGAAGCCCGTGACAGATCAGTGCCACACATCTGCTTGAAATTACCTCATTCCCAACCAAAGATTATATTAAGTTTCCCACCTCATTTTCCTCCCAATTGGTAGACTGGACAATTCCAGCTACATTATTCACTTCTAAGAAGTCATTTCTGTAACCTACCAGAATACATCATGAAATTATCAATTTCCTATAAACCAAAGGTTTATATCAAAGGTAAGAGCAGAGTGACTGCTATTTTGGAGCTAGTTTAACTTGACAACTCAATCATCGACAACTGCATCATTCCTTTCTGTTCTCTATCACTGCCATTTTGGAAAGGATTGATTTTAGAAAACAAGAGCCTAAGTCACTTGGGTTTTCACACAGGAAAAGAAAAAAAATATATATCTTGGGCAGTAGTAGGAGGCAGCTGCTCCTCATAGATGGAGGAGGGCCGGTCGGGCGCTGCCCCGTGCTGGGCTCAGGACTCACGTCGAAGTTGTTGAGCGCGTAGGCCAGCTCCCCGCCGCCCGCCTGCTGCTGGGCCGCGTCGTCGGAGGCCGCGGCCTGCGCCGCGTTGGAGATGCCCGTGACCGCCTGCTGCAGCTGCTTGTAGATGAGGTCCCTGTTGGCCTTGTAGGCGGCGACGTCGGGGTGCTGCAGGCAGGCCTGCGAGGCCGTGTACAGAATGGGCACGTTCTTCTGCAGGATCCCTCTGGCTGCTGCCATTTGGTCACGGTGACCCACGTCTTTCAGCTCCTGGGGGGCAGGGGGAAGCACATGAGGCCCTTTCCCATACCCTGTCTCCTTATGTCATCTCCCCACACCCACAGAATAGGAGAGGGCTATTTGCTTATTAGCATCAAATCCAACTTAACCTTGAGCCACATCCCTATTCTTAAGGGCTCAATAGATTTCAGAACACAATAGCCCAAAGATTTGAAAAATAACACAATCCAAGTTTACTTTATGTCTACAGACTTGCAAGGAATGCCAAGTACCCTAAACATTGCTTAACATTTTTAGGTAACTTAAAGACCAAGTTGATTTTTAACTATCAAATGAACAACTAGACTAAGTGCAAGAGGCTTCCTCTGGAGACAAACGTGTTTTGCAAATCAAGTCACACATGTGAAAAGTGGCACAGGATCAATCCAAGTAGTCACTGTCTTCTGTAAAAGATGGAAGATGCCTTTAAGATGCCTTTAAGATGCCTAGATATAAGCGACAAGCATCATTTAGCTGGAGTGGGAGGAAGGCAATCACTAACAACCACTGGCATATTAGACTAGTGGCTCTATTTCGTAAGTGATTAATTCAATTAATTTGTGCAATTGGCACAGAGATATTCAGTAAGAAACCCACATACTGCTTCTACATGGAAGCAATTCAGCAAAGGGAATCACGAGCAGTTTAAGAGCATTTATTGCACTGCCAACGCAACCTTACTGCCACCAGATCTTAGGTACCTCACCGAATGGCAATCTTCTTAAAATTGCACCCTGTTTATTTTCAAAGATGAATCCATTCAAAAAATAAAAAAAGCAAAAAAAACAACTTAGCGGTTGCAGTCTATACAGATCAGCAGAACAAAAAGAAAAAAAATGCAGCTCTACCAAAATTACACTATTTCAGATCAATCAGACTGCCCACACCTGTGCTTTTTGTTCAAAACTTGCCCCCATACGAATGAGTCACAACAGTGGTGTTGAACAAAACAAATTTCACCTGCAATTTGAGATTAACCGCTGGCTATCCAAACACAGCACAGGCACCCGACAAAAAGGTTTTTAAACCCTTTGCAAGGGGGTGTTTCCGTGCAAGTCCAACCTGTCTCGCCCAAACGGCTGTAACAGTATCACGAGCAGGGACTTTTAGACAGCACAGGACACACTACAGCACTTCTGTGGGAAGTAGGGTGGTACTCACTCATGTTTAATTCTTTACCTACACCAACTGCACATCCAAGTCTGAAACACAAGTTTGGAGATGCCCTGATGCAATTTTGTGGAAGCAGCATCCCATTACGGTATCAAAACCATATTGTTTAGTTTTGTCCTTAAATGTGCTGAATAAAGTATATCAGATCAGATAATCACAGAATATATCAGAAACCATATACTACAGTTGAGCAAATTTTCTGCTTCTAGTGTGAGATTAGTTCAATTCCTAAACAGTGTTGATTGCAACAGGACGTACTCAGCAAAGTTTAGCAGCAACTAATACTCCAAAACAAGCCAGAAAGACCTAGATTTAGAGACCTAGATTTTGAAAAAAAATAAAACAACAAAAAAAGAACCTCTATAAAGAACAGAGCTCTGCCATCACTATACCTGCTGTCTTTTGGCTGCCATGATATTGAGTTTGTCGACTTCGGGTTTGAGGGCTTTGTACTGTATACCCAAATCCTGTTCCGTGCCAGCATTCCTTAATTTCAAGATACCTTCTTCCACCTAAAAGAGTACACATTCATATATTTTTTTTTCCAAGTAATACAGTCTACAATTCAGGTAAAATAATCTAGAATAGACTTTGCAACAGACTGAAGGCACCTTCCCCTCTTCCCCCCCGGCCCCCCCCCCCCTTTTTTTTTTTTTTGGGGGGGGAAAAGATACACTTCAAAGCTTAATGGTACTTAAGGCTTCACTACTACTTGGCACTCAGCAGCTATTGGGACAGCCAGTTACACGTGTTTGAAAGGGAACAGCAGAGCACAGAATCCTCAGAGCTGCAGAGGTGGCCACAGAGAGGGAAGGAGGGATCTCTCCAACCTCCACTGCTGAGTGGGCCCAGCACAGAGTCTCCTTTCAGTGCAAGTTCTGTATTAATCACTCACCCTCCTCTTCATAAGGAAAAGCTTCTCCAAATATTCCCCATCCCCTTTATTTAGTTCAACGAAGTTCCTCATTTCTGCCTACCTGCTGTAAGCAAGCACTGATGAGCAACCCAAATTCCTTCTTTAAGCAAGCAGGTTGCTGCCTGCAGTTAGTGCATCATGATACATTTAGTTTCAGTCCTAACAGTTCAGGATAAAGCGCAGCACTGTCAAAAGCACCCGACAGCTTCAGCACAAGTGCTGAACATGAGGGAAAAAAGGCAAAGACCCTCTGGGAGGGAAGGTGGCTCCGGAGAGGAGCTGCACTCACCACTTTGAGCTGGACGAGCAGCTTGTAGACGTCGGCCATGTCGGCCAGGATGAGCAGGCGGGTGACGGCGGAGAGCAGCGCGCGGGCGGCGCGCACCATGTTCCCGCGCTTCACCGACGAGCAGGGGTCGTCAGCGAACTCCCCGGACGCGCTCTTCATCAGGTCACCTGCGCGGGGCGAAGCGGGGGGCACGTTTAGCACCCGCGCACTTTCCCAAAGGGCCCAAGAGCTTCTGGACAAGGCAAGTCTGAGAGCCCCTTTGCATGAGCACAACCACGCAGAAGCTTCGCTCCCCTCTATGGAACACTACGATGCTTTCAACAGCTAAGGGAAAGCTTCTCGGGAGCGTAAAAGCTAAGGAAAAGCAGCAGAATGTACTGCAGACATCAAGGCAAGTGTCATAAATTCATCTGATAGTAAAACACTTCGGAGCAACGACATGGAGGCTGGCTGCCTCCCTTAGAGATGGGGGGCTACAGAGAAATCAGCTATACAACATATAAAGCAAGGGTCTGCATCCAAGGGAATGCTTTGTTTGCTAAAACACTCCAACGTTTTAGAGCCTGCGGATGAGCATCGGAGGACAAGGAGAGAAGACGGATGTCACACGGCACCAGCGCTGCTGGTCAGCTGGGAGAGGCAGAGGCCGCGTTAGCAGCAAAGTCCCTCCTGAAGGCAACCAGAAAGGGACGTTTCTCCCTGTCTGAAGTAGGAGTTTGCTTTTGCAGCAGCTAGTTTGGGAATGTAGGTTACTGTTCTTAGACTTCCATGCACTTCAGATGCATTTGGAGAACAGCAAGGATTTAGTTTAGAACACACACAGCACTCAAGGCCAAAGATTGTGGGTAAGAGAAGGTGACCAGAAAGCACATCCTTTACACACTGTTTGAAGCTCAGAAGTTGCTACCAGGTTGGAAAAAAAGTAACCTTATTTCCATCTCAAGCTGCAACAAGCCATTCTGAAACAAAGCACTACTCCTTTTTTATTTTAATGAGAGCCTTTAAAAGATTCAGCGAGTTTCAGACAGCTTGTCAGAGTGTTAAAAGGTAGCCAGCTTTTCATAGCTAACAAAATTCAATTTCAAGTTCTTGCATATACATATATATATTTTTCTGCCAATTAAACTAGTTTTGAGAGTTCTTTTACAAAGCAAAAGCAAAGCAATATGGTTGTTTAAACTAGACTTGAAGGTAGCAAGGGCAATAAGGGACTCTGCCCCAGCTCAAGGATGCAGCTGCTGTATTTCGTGCACGTGTTAGGAGATTGTATTGGATCCAACACAACCTTTTGAAACGTGACCCAGAGGTAACAAAGTTGTTTAGCCAGCAGAGCCTCAAGAGTTACAATGCAAAAGGGTCAGACCACGACTCAGATTCTGCATCCTTATATGAACAATTTCATTCTTCCAGTATAACCTTTGATGGTCCCTAGATACTGCACAGAGAAAGAAAATAAAACAGTCAAGAAAAGAACAGACAAGAGTAGCCATACTATGGTCTTGCCAATAAAATACTAAGGATTCAATTAAATCTAATGGAACAAAGCCCATCTCAGAAATGCTAAGATTTTAGTCCATCAGAAAAACTACCACTTTCCAGGCCCCTCCTTGCTGCGCCCACAGGGTCTGACAGCAGCTGCACACAGCGCTATCAAACCTCCTCCGCACTGTGGTACACGATGACCATGACAGAAGGGGTTTTCTTCACATGAAGACCTTTACACGAGCACCAACGTGCATTCAGGACACGCAGGCCCAGATGCATTTTTCCAAGGTGCAAATTTGCACCCGTGTATCCATCATCTCCTGCCCATTAGCACCTTCCAGCTAAAAGCCCGTGTCCAGGCTGCTTCACTTGAGCTATTGGAAATGCAAAGAGCTCCCGGGCATGCCAGTGCTTGCACCTGCCTCCTCAGCATTTTGAGGAGCCATCTCTACTGATCCGACAGATATTCGGGCGTGCATCAACAGCGCCTGCCTTGCTCACCTTGCCCAGTAGAGCACCCGGTCAGGGATTCTGCAACTCACCGTTCCCTGGCACCCAGGCCCCGCTCCTCTCGGCTTGCGGCACCCATCACATCTCCCAAACGGCTGGATATTCCCCCCCAAACAAAGAGAAGGATAAAAGCAGAGTTTAAAGACTAAAATATCTTGGATACAGAAGGCCCTTCTGTGTCCCCACTACTGCCAACCTTAGTGTCCACATGAGACTCCTGCATCTCAGGTCTCCATGAGATGTGATGTCAATCCACAGGATTCAAAAACCATCCATTCTCTTACCTCCAACCTAACACCCAGATTTAAGCTTCTAAAGCTTTTGGTCTTCTTCCACTGGAAGAAATGTAACAGTGAGAACATAGCTAATACCTTGGGTCTTCAGCCAAGTATGCAGATATGTAGAGCAAGTGAACTATGGCCATACTGGAAGAGAACAGAAAATACCTGTCCTTGCCAAGTGCACCTGGAGGAACGTTTCTGCTTGACCCCAGGCTCTGCTGCCAGTCTGGATGCCAAGCACACGGCTAAGAACCCAGCTTGGTTCCCAAACACTTTTCAGCAGTATCAGGAGAGCTAAATGTTTCATGGTACAACCAACCTCCAAGGTTTCAGAAAAAGCCAGAGGCCAATGTACAACTGGGGGAGAAGGTGGCACTGACGGGAGGGGAGAGCGGTCAGATGAGACCAGCCTTGTCCTCTCTGGTGTCTCAGCCAGTGTGCCCAGGTGTTGCTCATGAGCACTCATGTTGTGGGTGCTCTCTGCTCCTTCACCCATGTCACTGTCACCAATTTGAACAATCTGGACCCACTATTGACCCTGGGGAACTGCACTAGCTACACACCTCCAGCTAGACTGTGTGTCACCAGTCACAACCCTCCAAGCTCTGCCATTCAACCAGACACCCTTTTAACCTCCGCTGATGAGACAAGTTATCTGTTGTCCTAACCAGCTCCATAATCTGTCTGCATTCCTTCAGCTCTTCTCTCAAGCACAGCAGCTAAACCTCTTGCTGCTCTCAATAGAGGCATTCACAACTCGACTTCCCTGCCTGCTGCCGAGCACAGCGTGCCGGCCATCCCTAACCCCCCTGCTGCTCCACAGCCACGGGATGCTGCCCGGCCACAACCATCCTCCTGTTCACCAAAGCGGCCAGAACTTCCTCTCCACTTCTGCCCCTGGTTGCAGGATGCAGATGACCACCCTGTCATCAGCAGTGCGGAGCCTCCTGCCGCCTCCAGCCAACATCCACAGCTGATGGAGCGCTGGCATGAAGCCCGTGCATCCTTGAAATCAAATGGAACTAAGAAACAAGAGAAACTTGTACTGAAGCTTTTCTATCAGCCTTCCTTCTCTAGGAGCTTCTTCCCGTCAGACAACACAACCACACGTGCAGCTAGGGGACAACCTGAGGAACTGCACAGCCCAGAGCACCGAGCACTGCTTCCCCCTCGTTAATATCATCAAAGGTCACTTGAAGATACTCACAGTAGATTCCCAGCCCGGAGAAGCAACCAAGCAAGCAACAGCAATTGAAGGCCTTCAAGTCAAAGGGCTCTGTGTTGGTGGTTGTTGTTAATTTAAGCCCACTCAGACCCTTATGTCAATGTTTGTTTGGTCTGTCAACCAGGCTATTCCGGAACTTACACCCATTTTCAGCTAATACTTGAGCACTGGGCAATTTCAGCTACAACAATAATTAATGCTAATGAGTTTTCATCTTTTTTTTTTGTTGCAGCAGCCACCATTAATACCAGTTGACTGGGTTTCACTGAAGCATAGAAAAGGCTCATGAGTGGAAGAATGATAAATGATTTATGAGCAACAACATTTACTGGTTCAAATTTTACAGTAAGTCAGCTCCATAGGCTTTCCTCACAGGTCTTCTCCAAGGCGGACGCAAGGAAAATGATAAAAAAAATAAAAAATAAAAAATAAAATCAACCCTAGATGTGGGGGAGGATTTGATCGAGATCCTTGCATTCTGTTTATTGCTATTTCTATTTGGCATATTCAAAACACCCAGCTCAGTCAAAGATACGCAGTTCTTCCTCCTACAACGTTGTTTTAAATACATCCAAATTTTGAAGAAGTTATTGACAAATATTTGAGAAGTGTCTACATAACATTTACAGGCAGGGGAAAAAGTTTACTTTTTAGCTTAAAAGAGCATCTAAAGTTCGATTTAAGCACCAGCCTTTCCCTCTCTTTGAGCCTTTCCTTGGGACAGCTGATTTCCTAGCATGCCCCCTTCACTAAGGGGTGTTAACACTGAACCCACCAAGATGAAAGTCTACACAAAAGAGGAGCACAAGTCATTAGAAACAACTGCTAAGGGACACGGGATTAGTTCTAGTTGTTATGACATTTTATGATTTTAAAAGCTATCAAACACACATCTCTTACCTTGCTTGCGGACATCTTCCACCGCCGCCACCAGCTCCTCCTTGAGGAACTGACTCTCTTTGGCAATTTTGTCTCCTTTCTCCAGGAAATTCTCTGTTGCTTGTTCAACTGAAGCAGCCAAGACATGGGCCTTTTTAGAGCGCCCTCTTTTTTTATTAGATGGGCCCTTGTTGCTAGTGTTCACCAATGTTGTAACCTAGAAGCATAGATGGGAGTTTAAAAAAATAAATAAGATAAATTATTAGTTTGTCAGTGAGCTGGACCACACGCATGCATGTTTTCCAGACAGCACATTTGCAATGCCAGTGCTATTGCCAGCTCCAAAGACAAGAAACGCTTTAAACTCATGACAAACAACTCACGTATATTTTTATGTCTCTTTAAACATGACTCTGCTTCTTGATTCATTAGATAAGCCTTATAAATTCAGCTAAACTGCTCGGAGAGCTTTCTTTGCAGCAGCAGAGCTGAAAAGTTGATGTTAAAAATCGAGACGTGTTTGTGTATTGATAAAGTGCAACCTCAGTAATAGGGCAGAGCTATTTAGCACCACTACGAAAAGAGCAACGCCAGCTTGGGATAATTAGCCTGCGATAGACTTTGGGCATAAGAGGCACAAAATGGGCTTGATGTGATTATCTACAGAAATCTAACAACACACCTTCTTTTCAGGCCAAAACAGGGAATAAAGCAGCCAATGCACTAAACGCTAAGCAAAGTGCTTCCCAGAGCCCACTGTTTCCATAAAAGAACCAAGTCTGAACTCTCACAATCCTCCTGTAAGCAATGAATATTTACAGCTTGCTTAGGGTTTAATCTGAGGCCCTGTTAGTAGCTGGTCACCACGGGCCAGGTGACCGTCAGTTATCCCGTTGGCTCAGGACAGGGGATTCATTCTCTTCAATCCAAGAAAAAAATTCCGCATACACTTCTCCATCTCCCTTTTTCCTTTCTTCTTATTTTTAAGTCTAGGAGACTGCACACAAAGCTACTTCAGAGGCACATTAAATTACAACACTAAAAAAATTACTGCTCTGGAAAGCCCAAGGACTGCTGACATAAAGGTCCTCAGAGCGGAATCCATCTTCTCAGTAGATGGATTCGGAGCAGGAAAGCCCTCAGCAGGGAATATTGCTGTCTTAATGGGAGCACTTGCATCTGGTAGTCTCAGTTCACCAGGCACTCCAAGTAAAGGAGTCGCAACAAGGCAATTTATCCAGCCTTTCCCTAGATGTGTTGCCAGTCTCATCATTCACAAAATTTGGGGCTGCTATCACAGGCAGTTGTGCTACTCCAGGGATAAATGACAGGTCCTAAACTTCGATCAAAAGCTCCTAAGAACAAGTCTGTTCACTTAAGAAAGGACTCCAATTGGCAAACTTAAGAAAGAATTGGCCAGTCAATAACTCTGGCTTCAAAGCTGTATAATGGGACATCCAAGTGCTCATCTCTTGGGCATCTGGAGGGGGAAAAAAAAGCAAGGTATTTCCAAGGCATAACCTTGTGGCCTGGCAATCAGGAGGATGTTAAGACCAGGACTTGATCATTTCCAGCTCCCACTTGGCAGGAATACTGCCCAGTTCATACTGGGCGTTTAAAAACACTGTATAACCCAGGGCAACTACCCTAGCAAATGCAGTTACCTCTCTTCAATGCACTTTAAGAAGCCCCTGAGAGTCTCTCCCTAGAATCTTCAAAATGTCCAGTGCATAGAGCTTGGATTTACAAGACTTGCTTTATTCTAGCCTTTCCTACATTTTTTCCACTGGACAACACACACCACACAGAAATAAGGTTTTATTTACAAATCCAGCATAAAGCGTGGGCAGGGATTTAAATACATGCACATCATCTCAAAAGATGCACTGATACTGTAACAAATACCACAAAGGCTGACTTCTCTCGGGGAACCTGCTACTAACCCCTCCTAAGTACTGGCTGTTCCAGACAACTTGCATATGAAAGTGTTGCTTTATTGCCTTATGATTAACACAACAATGCATGAGATGACACCAAAGGGAGCTCTGTTTATGTTTATCACTCCACTAGGTGATCTTCAAGAAAACTTATGAGACAGTACTTGCTACCAGAAGGGCTTCACTGCAAGGGCTTTTGTCACTAAACCCCTAAAAATTCCTAAATGTTACAGTTTGTAAATGACACAAACAGCTTTTTGAAAGGGAAAACAAGTTACAACATCATCCTTTAAGATACAGGTGAGAAAACATATCAGTAATGAAACATTAGCTCTTTCATCCATTTCTGCCCTTCTGCAGAAGTGAAATAGTGCGTCTTATCAAGAATTGAAAAAGCACAGGCTGTCTAAAGATGCTCTCAATAACATTGTTAAATAAAAAGATGTACAAAAAATGACTTTTATACACACTTGTCATCCCTACTTTTGTAGGTTTTATTTTTTCCTTGCAGAACTTAAGCTCTGAAAGGTCTTTAATTGAAATAATATATCAAAGCAGGTATTAATCCTCCTGTGTGCATGTGTTTTTTACCTGTGTAACGAGAGGCTCAAGTAGCCTTTCCACTGCCAGTGTTCTTATCTCCAGGCTTTTGGGGTCCCATTTGAAGTTAACGTTGCCTGCAGTAACAGTAGTCATTTCTAGAGAAAGAATACAAGAAGAGAGATATATTAATAAGTTAATATAATTGTTTCAAGGAACTCTATTGGACTTTGCAGGAGGTGGGGGGAGGATCAAAACAAGATCTCGAAGCAGGTGACACCTCCTCTATTCACCCTGGGTTCCCAGGGAGGGGAAGGGACCTCATGGGTGACACTGGCACTTTGGCCACAAAGAGCAGAGGGGCCAAACTTGCCCTGGCTCCTGCTGCCGAGCAGGAAGGAAACACCTAAACTTCAAAAAACGGGGAAAAATGCCCCATCTCCTCCAGCGAGACTCAGCTGCACCACCAGCCACTGCTCTGGGCACCACGTCAAACACGGAGCTGGGGTCTAACTCGAGCACTGTGAACTACCAGGTTATCCCAATTCAATTTTTGGAAGTAAAAAGATGTACAATAAAGCAGTGTAAGCCTTACAAAGCCACAATACTAAGCTGGTTCATTTTCAACGACTTACATATCTATTATGCTCTCCCTTAACATTTACACAGGAGCAAAAAGCAGATTTGCATGAAGAGATCTGTTAGAAGCTGTCACAGAGCCTTTCCTCCTCATTACAGTTTGCTATTAAAACCCCAGTGGAACAGCAAAAACGATTACGGGAAAGGCTTAGCAAAATTACTAAAATAGTTCTGATTTTGAAGCCAATCGTCTGCAAAAAGATTAAAGAATTAACTAAGATAGATCTTTAGATGAACACCACAACACTGAATAGTGCAACAATGAAATAGGCAGATGATCAGAATCCTAATTTCAGGAGAAAACAAAAACAAACAGGATTTAAAATACTAAAAGTCAGCAGAAGCAGTTTGCATTACTTTAGATTTAATATACTGGAGTTTTTCTCTGCTAAGGGTTGTCCTATGAAGGCAAGATTGGACTGGACACTGGTTTGTAGTTTTAAACCAAGACCTTTCCCAGGAGATGTCTAAGGTCTCCTTCCAGCCCAAGCAATGGCTGTTAGAGCTGCTCCCACAGCTCAGCCTCTGGTATCTTAAAAAGCTCCTTCTCAGCAGGGCACAGTCCAAATGGCTTCTTCCAAGACAGATGTTCTACCAGCCCCAGACGGCCCATGGCGAGCACGGTGCTCTTATTTCTGAGCTGCAGGTCCCTGGGGTTGGTGACCCACGATGCTCACAACACGGGTTGACAACGAACCGTTTTACACTCCAACACTGACAAGTCAACTCAAACGGGCAGCAACAGCACAGACGCGACTCCCTCCTTCCCCTTAAAAATATAAAATAAGGGCTCTCAGGCACTTGAGAGGCTCCGGATTGTGGGAAGCCTAAGTTAGAGCTCAGCATCACCTGGCTTTAACCAGCAGCACCTTCATGGAATCATTATGAGTGGAAAAGACCTTCAGGATCATTAAGCCCAACCGTAACCCATGGCTGCTAATCCACGTTCAAGGGCCTCCTCTGCACGTTTCCTGCACGCCTACAGGGATGGCAGCTCCACCACTTCCCTGGGCAGCCTGTTCCAAGGCTTCACTCTTCCCATGCAGAATTTTTTCCTAGTATCCAACCTGAAGCTCCCCAGTGCAATTTGAGACCATTTCCTCTTGTCCACGCTTTGCTCCGAAGAGCCCCCAAGAGCATACATGCAATATTTCTGGCAGTTTAAATTAAAAGCTAGAAAGCAGAGAGCTGTGGACCCACTGCAGAAAGGTGGACCCCTCTTTCTCACTCTTGCACCAGCTCTAGGGCTCACCAGCTACTCCTACCAACTAACCCATAAGTTTTTGCCCACTCCTGACGAGTCTGTGACCGTTCCAGCGAGTTAACCTGCCTTGTGCAAAGGTCCCCGATACACCAAGCCCAGGAGGCCAAGGGGGGATGAAGAGCCACAGGGGAGGAGCAGGAGCTGCCCCGTCTCTTCCCAAACCCCACAGCCACCACCTCCACTGGGCAGTCAGGACCAGGATTCCTCCCCGCTCCGAACGCGGCGCTCCAGGCAGGGGCCTCCCTTCCCCTCGCCCCGTAACGCCTGCCCCAAGCGAGGAATTTCACCCCTTGATTCCCCCCGAGCAGCTGGGTCAAGCACTAGCCGTGTCAGCAGCCACCAAAAATACACCAAAAGCATTATGGTTTCTGAGCTACATTCTGAGATAGCATGGAAGCCCCCTTGGTTTATAGGAAAAAACTAATTCTGTGCATTTAGTGCTGTTACACCTCTCAGAGGTGAAGATGGTTTTTGAGGTACTGGTGGGATACGAAAGGAATTCAGCCAGTCACTTGTTAATACGATCCTCACAAATCCTCTAACCTGGCCAAAAGTAACGGGCTATCAGGCCAGTTAATGGGAACTTCACTGAAGTTTACCTTGAAAAGGTGCTTTTATAGCAAATATTGTTTGGCAGCAACAATTTAGATATCATCTGAACACAGCATTAAATGCAACGTTTATTCAATGAAGTGTTTGCAGAGAATATCAAAACAAGGTATCACTTACAAAGGTAACTGAATTGAGGGAGTTTAAGGAAAAAAAGGGCCCAGGGCCAAGCTAAAGCAGGGCTGCCTTCTCGAGACAGGAAATCTCTAGTTCTGACACTCGCCCTGCTCTTGTGACTGCTCAAGTTTTAACTTCACCGCATTCAAGTACAATAACATCGAGTAAACAAAGCCAGAGGATTTTGCAGCAATGATTAATTGTTTTGAGAGCGTGTAATTATCCCCCTAAAAACTTCACCAACTAGAATGCTTAATCACGAGTGCTGACGTTCTTTGGAAGGACGGACCCAAGCAAAGGCCACGGTTGGTTTCAAAGGGCTGGGATAATCCAGCGAGGATGGAAACAGATTTTCCACGCCACAGAATCACAAGGAGCAGCACACACCGCCGGACACAGAATCACAGCAAGAATTTCAAGACGAAGCAGCACAGCACAAAGCAGAAGAAAGCTTGAAACATGGAATCTGAAGCGCTGGAGTATACGGCAAGACACTGCCGCCCCAAGAAGTTGCATTTGCCCAAACTGTGGTTTCAAAAGCTGCTTAGAAACCCGCGCTCGGCCTCCTAAACCCTTCCAGGAGCTCCTCCCCATCGTCACATCAATCCCCTTGGCACTGGCACAGCTTTTCACAGGGCTGCATGATCAACTGGATGGGGAAGAACCAATTTAACTGGAGGGGAAGAAAAATATATATATATATATCTCCATTTTTGCATGGTGGGATGAGAACCCAGCTGTTTCACGATGCCACCACAGACACTTTTGCTGGCCAAAGAGCCAACAGTGAGAGAAGGTGGGTGCCAAGGTGGCTCCATCACCATCCCTTGGTGGCATCCGAGGGAAAACGTGGGGTAAAAGTCTAATGTTTCACCAGGACTGTGGACTTGAGTCCACCTGAACACACAGCATCAGGAGACGCTGCTGCCAAGAGCACGTTATCACAGTGGTCAGGATGATGCTGACTATTATAGCAAGTGCCTTCCCACATAAACCAGTTATATCTCATTGGGTTTTAGTGGGTTTGCAAGAACACAAGAGGCCTGGGGAAAGAACTTGAGTTGAAGAAGTCATTTCCAAAGTTCCCTTTTGCTTTCAGAAACTTCATAGGCTCCAGACAAGTAGTTGCTTTGTTAGCCAAGAAAACCTGCTCTTCCAGGACAAGCTTTGCCTTCCACAAGGAATCAGGGACCCATCAACACCTCAAGATTAAGAACGAGTTTCCATTATACTTCAAACTCCTTTAAGAAAGTGCTGCTGCAGTCCCGCCACTCCCACCCTGCCAAAAACCTGCCTCAACACTCACTAACATTGCCACTCACCTGAAGAGACCCTCCGAGTTTCCTAAATCCTCAAAAAAAAAAAAAGTACAAAAAAAAGCACCTGAAGGCACTTCCCAGTCTTTTGGGGTCAGCACTGGGATAGAGCCAGCAGCTCCTTATCCAGGCAGTGCGACGCACCAAGCCGCTGCAGCAGGATTTGTGCATCGCTCCCAGATGCCCCCAAAGCAACACACAGGCCAGAGAGACTACAGCGATTCCAAGGCCTGGAGACACTCGCTCTTCCAGCACGGCAGCACGCAGGTCACCCTGCACTACGTTAAGGAAGGCTGCGCTGGCTGGTTTCCTTACGGAAGTGTCCTGAAGGCACTCGGGAGCTTCCAGCCCAGGAAGCAGCCGTAACTTCCGCACGGAGCTCTACACGTCAGGCGAGGTGCAGCACTGTGGGCAGGTCTGCTGTGCACAGTCCTGTTTCTCCAGCTCCCACCCCACGTGCACCTCAGGGCGATGTTGCCTTGAGCCGAGGCCCTCCTGAACAGGGCAGGAAGTTCAACCTGTTCCGCACCAGGAGATTCCACTCTCCCTGGGCTGGACCCAATGTGTTTCGGTTATGTACAGGGGAAGAGCTAAACTCTGCTAAACTCTGCTGTTCTCCTGTGCTGCAGCTTGAGCCCACCACCTTGTGCTGCCGACAGCAAACTAGGATTTTTCCTCTTTATAACCGCCTTGAATGATTTTGCAGCCTACTTTTTCCTCATTATATTTCTCTAAGTAGTCGCAGTTATTTTGAATTCAAACTCTGCCCTGTGACACGCTCCCAGACTGCCCTTTGGTATTACATAATAAGTACAGCCCCTACTCCATCCTCTAACGCATGAGGATGAAATACGGTGGAATTCACAACAAGATGATTCAGCTTCATCCTCCAGACAGAAGATGAACCCCAGGTATCTCCTCCCAAGTAGGGCGCCTGGCTTTGTTAACCTAAGTGCCTCACCCATCTGATGGTCAGTGGGGACTTTTAACCCTCTTTTAACTACAGGAGGAAACAGACAGGACATGAAAACAGGTATCTAAGACACCAAGTATGGACCTTCCAAGCACTTTGGTCTGATGTTGGTTCAAGTTCAGGGGTTTGGTCATACTCTACTGATAGTCCCAGACAAAGGGCACTCAAAGAACCAGTTCATGCTTTGCTCCTTCCCTTCCCAGCTCCCACATTTATTTGGTAGCCATGTTCCACAATTAA